TACTTTTGGTCTGTCTTTTTGTAATTATACAGGCACCCTTTGTCATACCCTGTCATTATTTGTCCTGCTACAATCGTGTTTTCTGACCATCTTTTTTCTTCTCTAGTGAAAACAGTGATACAGCAGACCCTGCCTGTGCTTAGAGACCTAGTGGACAGCATATCTGGGGAATCCACCAAATCGCGTCAGATCTGTTACCAGAGTCTCCAGGAGTCTGTCCAAGTGTCCCTCAGCCTTTTCCCAGTGTTTATTCAGCAGCCAGGTCTGTGTCTGTCATCTACAGTTTGTGTTTAAAGCTTAATCACAGTGTTAAGATGATCAAATCAATCCATCCGCTTTTCTATACATACTTGTCCTGTAACTGGGACTGAGGCCCTTCCCAGCATGCACTGTACTGGGCAAACGAATGTAGAGATGTTTCTCAGCCTCCTACTAGTGCATGCATGATTGTAACAAAGGACCAGATCCACATCACTACAGAATCTAAACCTTACTTTTACTTATGTTACTTTTGTGTCGACTTAGTGCCATAGTCTCTGCTGTAGCGACTGGTATTTATAGATGGAGCTTTGTTTGTGAAATAGCAAGCAGCAATGCACATGAATGTCAAAGCTTACTTTCAAGTGAAATCATATTGGTCACTTAGAAGAAAATATTTGGATATCACTTTAAGAAGAGTCCTATGTTCGAAGCTCAGTACAAAACCTTACTCTGTTTGCCTAGAAATTATTGATAGCTGTGTTAAGTAAATATAATTATTTCAAAAGATAAATCTCCAAAGACCTCAACAAACGTTGACACAAAAGGTTGTGTGACTCACCAGCTCTGTTAATTGTCACGTCTCTTTTCTAGATGTGACAGATGAGATGTTGGCCTTCTTCTTGACGCTGTTTCAGGCGTTGCGAGTCCAGATGGGTGTTGCCTTCACAGGGCAGATCATCCACACTTTCCTCAGCATGTTCACCAGGTAAAAATCAGCAGTAGTCACAGTAGGATTACATCTTGTCTAGACGGATAAAGGTTTAAATGGTGTGGGGCAAACACTGAAAATGCTGGCGCATCACTCTTAACACTATTTAATGCAATGTCACTTGTATGTGCTCCAGGGAACAGCTGGCAGCCAGTATTTTGCAAGAGGGCAGTGCAGGGTGTAGAGTGGTACAGAAGTTCCTGAAGATTCTGCAGGTGGTGGTGCAAGAGCCTGGTCAAGCTTTCAAGCCCTTCCTACCCAGCATCCTCTCTCTGTGCTTGGAGCAGGTTTATCCGATTGTGGCAGAGGTCAGTTGGTGCTCATCTGTCCTGAGTTAACATTCATGCTGGGCTTTGATTTAGTCTGCATCTGGATTGCTTGGCCTGCTAGCTCCTAAAGTTAGCTGTGGTGTCACTTCTTTCTTTGGAAATCGTAGAAAATGTTAAATATGAATGTTGTGGGAAAACTTGCCCGTATTGCATAAAAGAAATCAGACCACTAGTTAAAAATTGATTCATTTTTCAAGTATTCTGAAAATGAAAATTGTTAGGTACTTAATAATGATGTAATTTCTGATGCTATCTTTTTGTCGTTGGTATTCATTAAATTTCCTGGATAAAAGATGGTCAATAAAATCTCTTGTCTTTGATAGCGGGCTTCCCCAGACGTCAAGGCAGAGATGTTTGAGTTGCTGTATCAAATACTTCACCAAAACTGGAGGTACTTCTTTAAAACATCAGTCTTAACAAGTGTCCAAAGAGGAGCCGGTGAAGACACCATGGAAAATGAAGCCCAGTTCACAGCCTCCATGCAGGTGTGTGTGTAGCATGTGCTTACAGTTGTCATTATATACCTTTTGCATGGACCAGTAAATCTAGACACTGTTCTTTGGATGAGTTTGCTTTTCAGGTGTTTTGCTAATTGCAACCCAGCTAATAGATGAAGCCATTGCTTAATTTCCTGACTTGTGCTGACATATCTTTCCCAGGCTTTTGGACAGTCTTTCCTGCAGCCTGACATCCACATCTTCAAGCAGAATCTGTCCTATCTGGAGTCCCTCAACAGCAAGCACAAGTTGTATCACAGAGTAAGTTGAGCTTTTATGTCACTATCATGTTTTTGGAAGTACAGTACGTCATGGAGCGGAAGTTGTTAACTCACTTTCAGATTCTGAATATCACTAATTCTGTTTTAGCAGTTGGCAGATCGTTTTCTTTTTTCCCCTTTTTGACAAAAAAAATCTAGTTAGCAGTCAGGACAGAAAACACATGGCAGCACTCAGATCAGTTTGACCTTTGTACTCTTCCCAGTGATTAGTAGGAAGTGTATTACAATAAGATTTCAAATTAAACTTCCTATACACACACACACACACAAGGAGTCATAATAATAATAAAAGAAAAAACTCAGGCCCTTGTAATTAAAGCAACAGTGAATGGGCTCCAGGCCATCTGTCTGTCCTGTGCAAAATCTCTTTCAACTCTTTCATAATAAGTCCTTGATAATTAAGACGTGTCCCTCATCCCCACGCGGATTGTTAGTTACACTGATTATAACCCATGTAAAGACACGTGTCATTATTTGTTTTTTATTGTGCTTCAGAAGCTTTTCCGGACGTCGATGCTCCTCCACTTCATCAACGTGCTGCTGCAGGTCCTTCTCCACAAAAGTCACGACCTTCTTCAGGAGGAAATCACCGTTGCTATTTACAACATGGCCTCTGTCGACTTTGATGCCTTCTACTCTGCTTTCATGCCAGAGTTCCTCAATGGCTGCCAGGGTGTGGACACTAGCCAGCGAGCTGTTCTCGCACGCAACTTCAAGCTTGAACGGGTAAGGGTGACATGTTTGACTAACAGTGTTAGTACCTTCGCCTTAACTGAATTATACTGAGATCGCAGCTTCAAAGCTAACGTGCAGTTATTTGTAGGTTTTTATTAAGTTATTCTGTACCTAATGTACATGGTAACCATGGCAATGTATTTTTCAAGCTGTTGTAGTAGATGTAGACAGAGTTTACCAGCTGGTAACGTGCATAAATAAGAGACAGTCCAGCCATTGTCACTTGAAAAATCGTTCCATCTTGAGAAGTCGCTGACTGAGTCTTAATCCGTCTCCCTATTAACAAGCTGACAAATATGATAATAATCTGAATACTTCTGTTTAGTGTTTTATCCATTGTAAAATGTCACAATAAATTCCTGAAAAGCCATTGCTTTCTCTTTCAGAAATAAGTATTACAAATAAAGAACTGTCTCAGTGCCCCAGAAAATAAAACTCTAGTGTCCATTCAGATAGTTTAGTATTTCTTGTCCAGGTTTTGAGACAGCCAATTTCTGCTGCCACCCAAATACAATGGAGGTGTATGGAATATTGTTTGTGGTGCTCATAGCATTTAAATAACAATTTTTTAAAATAATTTTACTGTCTCCAGTGTGTTCTGAATAACCCACAGAACACACTGTAAACAGTTTAACTGGGACTATTAAATAACCCTACGATAATCATTTAGAGTGAAGTCTGGAGTAACAGATCTAGCTTTTGATAGTTTTTCTGTTCATTTTGTTCATGTAATGCAGGCCAATCATAATCATTCTCAGAACTACATGGAGTTTGGTGTGTCCCTGTAATGCCCTATCCACCTTCAATCTAAGATGGAGTCAAATCAAACAGAATAAACAAACACTTCAACCTACTACTTCTTGGATGAGTCTGCATAATACAGGAGTTGATGGTGGCATACTGGGCGTAACTATTACTGTGTAACTTTAATAATGAAATCATGTATAACTGTGTTTAAAAATGTATTTTGAAGGTTATCAGTATCGCCCCGAGCACTAGTATGTTTTTATTTGTCTGCTGTGTTGAATGTTGTTTCTTTCTCCTCTGCACTCTGTCAACTCCCATCTCTTCTGTAAATTAATATTACTGTTGAACTTTTCTCTTCTTTCTCCAGGACTTGCCGTCATTCACTCAAAGCGTGCAGCGGCTGGTGAATGACCTTCGCTACTACAGACTGTGTAATAGCAGCTTGCCCACTGGCACCATCAAGCTATAGCACAATGACTGCTTGAGCCACTCCACACGTCAACTATGATCTTCAAGGACTGCCTGTGCTGACCACTTTTCCCAACACTCCTTCTCCCACTAGCTTTGCTCCACCTATTCAGAGTAATAGGAAGGAACAACACACGTGGTTTGGTTGAGTATTTGGAGGTTGAGGATGCTGCTGATGTTTCTTTGATTTCTACTGTAGAACGTTGGCGCATTTTTTTTTTTTTTTTTTTTTTTTTAAAAACAGCGCCCTCCTTATGGTGTTGCCAATGATGATTTGGCAAGAAATTTAAACCTGGTCTGCAGTTGGCTTTCGCCCAGACCTGGAGCAGTCTGAGCCAGGCCTTCTTTCCCACGCCTCCGTACCGAAGCTGAGCTGGGACTGAGCACTTTCAACTCATTTTGAGTTTTTAAAATGTCTGCTTTTATTCTATTTGCCTTCAAAATTTTTTTTTTTTTCATCTCCAAAGGAGACGGACTCTCAACTTAAGATCTTTCATATCATTCCATTCTGAAAAAGAGAACCTGCTTGATTAATAAAGTGCTTTTTTAGTAAACCTCAGGTATTTAATTCATGATTTTATTGGTCTATGTTCTTTACCCTTGCAGTATTGTTTGAGAATAATGGTTGGATTAAGATTTTTCTGTATGTTTACATTGTTTTTGCTTTAAACATGTCAGTGGCATCTTTTTAAAATTCCTTTTAACTTAAAATAATCTTCAAGTGCTGATTTTTTATTTATTTTTTGGCATCTTTTAGAACACGTTCACAACTAATTGAATGGGATGGTTTGGTTCTTGACAGACAAAAGACCTAAGGCAGAGCAGATTTTAGCTGTGAGAATTGCCAAAGCCCTTAAAGCGTCAACAGACAGAGGTTTTACGTGAGGCATGTGACACACATCACATGAAGAATGTGTTTGCATTGCGTCCTGAAGATAGGAAGCATCTGGAAGAATTAACTGACAAACCCGTCACAAAATGCTACATCGTCCTTTTTCTGCAGGCTGAACTTTCTGCGAGGATTGCAGCTTTCATGTTGGTGTCGAGCTGTCCTGGAATTAATTAATTATGATGTTTAAATAATCACCATAGACGGCGGTTGTGTGTAGACTAAAGGCAAACGCTTATTCAGTTATGCTGTTAACTTTACTGCGATTGTCTGGCTGTCTGGAGGTTCATATGACTCAGCGCAAACTACAAGGTGAATAGAACAAATGGATTTTATTGCTGGACCCTCTCAGTTTGATTAAAGCTTGTCTCATATTGATGATAAATACTTACTAGTTGTGTCGTTAATGTAAAAATGTTGATATATAGTCGTAAAAAAATTGACTTCCATTTAGTGCTGACTGAACTCTAACATACTTGCATGAAATTGAACCTAAATTATCTTTAAATCACTAAGATTTCATTAATGTGGTTTAATTTTAAGGTTAATTTCACCAGTTTTACACCTCGATCTCTATTATTGAGTACGTTAAAGCCTTTTCAAAAATTGTCATCTGTGGCTGCTTTACACACTGGATCTTGAAAGAAATGGACAGTTATATGGCATGGAATCAGACAGGCAGACACATGAATACAATTAATGAATTGTCGGTCAATGCTGGAATAAATGCTCTTGCAGAAGAAACAGCTGACACGTCTGGCATCACTGGAGTTAAATATGTTTGAGTGACACTCGAGGGGGGAACAGACAGGGGGATGACTCGTGAGTTTTGATTGAGGAGGGATGACTTCTCTCCCTGAAGGCTGGCAAAACACACGCCAAAACATGATCATGTTGCAGCACTGCATTTTGAAGAGAGTTCTCCAACAGTTTTATTCAGGGAATCAAGAAACCACTAAGAGTCTGCTATCTGGGTTTCCCGCTGCGCTGCAGCACGGGCACAGAGCTGCTGGGCACAGGAGCAAGTCAAGTAAGTGGCTGAATTAATTTCAGCTGGTCAGTGCGGCCGTCGATTTTGCTCTTGTACATTCCAACTTACGACTTTTTCTTCGAAAAGCTATCCATTGAAATGACTAGATGGCACTCTTCCAGGACTTAAATAATATAGTATTAGTTTTAAACACAGAGTCAAAGACACTTTACCTCCGAGGTGCACCGTTTATTTGTTCCAAACTTCACGGGGTGGTTTGGGGAAAACAAATCCGCTTGCCAAGCTCACGGGGTCATGAACTAGAACTAGGTTAGAAGCACAAGAGATCGTCATGATGGCGTGAGTGACAGCAACAGTGACTTGCGGTGTGCCTTAACCTGTGCGCATTTAGCCTAGTAGACAAAGCGCAGTAGGCCTACGTGTTCAACACCCGAACCTTTTTCTCAGAAAGACACTTCCATCCAGCCCGTTTCCTTATTCCTGTAGTTTAATGGCACAAAGCTGTTCCAGTAGATGAGTTCCTCTCATGCTGGGTCACGTGAAGCCTAATTGATCGCATGCAGTCAATTATAGCCTACAAACATTAGCTCCTAAGTGCAGCTGCTATTTTGTGCGCAATGACAATGAACCATCTAAACGCATACAATATCTGATGTGCTTTTTCGTTTTGCTCTCTGAGAGTAGATCATCTGTGTTTGACATAAAAACCTGTGTGTGGATGTGTCTGGGTCAACATCTGTTCTTTTTACCTGTGGGTTACTAATTTTGACAGCGTGTGAGGGTCTGATATAGGCTATAGAAGTTGTGTTCTGTCTGGCCCAGCAGGTCTTCCAGGTGAAAGCGAGCGGACTCTTATAGCTATAAAGCCAGATGGAGTTCAACGTCGTCTTGTTGGACAAATCATTCAGCGCTTTGAGCAGCGGGGCTTCAAGCTGGTTGGCATGAAAATGATGAAGGTATAGAAGTTTGAAGTAAGTGTGTTTGGTGTCTCTGATTGTTATTTTTTTTTTTTTTTCTAACTGTAGCTGTCTCTGTTCTGAAGGTGTCAGAGGATCTGCTGTCTCAGCATTACTGTGAGCTGAGGACCAAGCCCTTCTATCCCAGCCTGCTGCATTACATGACCTCAGGGCCTGTGGTTGTCATGGTGAGTGTTCCTCTTCCTGCCTCCTTGTGGGATATTTAATGTATTTTTTACATTGTTTCTTCGTTTGTTTGTTTTTTGTTTTTACATATTTCTACCTTTGCATTAGGTTGACATACATGAAAGGTATGTTTTAGAAAATGGTGGACACCTGACACACAGTATTTCAGGTGTAGACTCAATACAAATCTCTGCAAGTCTAGCTTGTGTGTATATAATGTGGTGTTTTATTTTTGTTTAGGTGTGGGAAGGGCACAAAGTGGTCCAGACCTCACGTAAGATGGTGGGCCACACTAATCCAGCTGAGGCCCAAGCAGGCACAGTTAGAGGAGATTTCAGCATTCATGTCAGCAGGTAACCTGATGCCATTTGATCTCTTGATGTGTGCAAGTTTCAGGATTAAACAACAATTATATGAGACTGCCACCTTTGCATCTTGTGAAGCTACTGCATGTGCTTTTTTCCATCTTGGAGGTAAAACTAATGATGTGTGTTGGTCATTTAAAGGAATGTGGTTCATGCCAGTGATTCACTGGAGGGCGCACAGAGAGAGATCCAGCTGTGGTTTCAAGGAAAGGAGCTCCTGAACTGGGACTGCTGTGACCAGACCAGCACCTGTGAGGTGTGAACACAAACGCGGAGAGAATCAGTAATACTACCTCTTCTCCTGCTGCTCAAAGGTCTGTCTCTTGTGACAGTGTGACCACAGTAATTGAAAAAATTAGTCGTGTTCATAGCAAATAATTTACCTCAGTAGGTGCACTTAGAATCGCAGTTTTTGTTGAAACAAATTTAACTGTGTTTTCAATTTATTACCAACTCCATGCACATAAATGTATAGCTGTTACATCTCTCACTGAACAGCCATAATATTTAAACTTATTAAACATGAATGACGGATGCAGAGATTCAATGGCTCAGTACCTGATTTCGCAGCTGAAATATTGCATGTCAACATCACAATATATCCCACAGTATCCGAACACGTCTAAGTCCTTCTGACTGATGGATCAAATTTGATGTGATTTTTTTATTTGATTCTGGCTTTTATCCCAAAGTCATAGTTAACAGTAATCTAAATCGCTAGTGGTCTAGATAGTCTAAATAGCTATTTAGTTACAAATTACTTTGTCAGATCAATACCAAATTCAAGTATTGCCAAGCAATAAAGTAAGATCTCATTTGAACATAATCTAACAAAGCCTTGCTATGAAGTAAGTAAACTGCTGTATAAATTTTTTTAAATTTAACAAATTATGTGTAGTGGTGTTTTTGGGAGTAAGGCGTTCAACAAATCAAAATAGTTGACTTAGACATGGTTCAAGTAAACAATTAACTAACTAGAGTAATTAAGTGCATTTGTGTAACTGAAGTTGTTATGCAATCCGCCTACCTCTGGTTAAAACTACTTGTCTGAAATGGGCGTAGCTGTTCGTAGTTAAGCCAAAATCAAATAATCACTGTTACCACTAAAACATCTGACCTCTAGTGTATGTTATTTGTAAAATGTGCTGGTGCTGTCAATGTACATACGTACTAAAGTGTGCGCTGCATAGCTCGGCATCATGATGATTTACCTAAACCTGCTTTTATAGAACACAGGACAGATTTGGCGTGTCACTCGGTTTTTTAATACCGCTGAAAAAAATAACTTCTGTTACTTGTCTAGAATTCTTCACGTAATTTTTTAAAAATTGTATGTTTTGATCATATAACTTTTCTATCTCAGAATATGTAAAGAAGGGTTGCAATAAACTCATAATACAAAAATACACGTTCCAGTAAATCCGTTGTGTCTTCGTGTTGTATATTATGTCATGATATGCTCCTTAGCTAAAGTCACAATGAAACGCACAGAATCAGAAATATTTTAGTCTCCATAAAACAGTCTGGATTTAAATTGTATATTGATGTCATCACTTTAATGTGTATTTAGTAAACATCTGGCTGCAACAAGTGACATTGTCTTAATACAGGTTGATGTGCAAGCAATAAAAACACTGACTGAATAAAACATTTTTTTTTCTGTAGAGTCAAACATTTTTAACAGAACGCATTTTTTTTTTTATGCTCTAAAAAGCATTTTCAGTCCATTATTGTTCAAACTAATCATCAATATGTGATTGGGTTTATTGCATTTGTGTATTTTCATGCTTCAAATATTGACTAAACAAAGAATAACAGAAATTGAAATTTTTTATCCAACATTAAGAATAATTTTAGTAAACTATGGTGAGAAGTTGAAGTTTAAAGCCCCTCTGTCTTAAAAACATGTAAAGAATATTTGTTAGTGAGCTTTATCTTTCAACGCAGTTTGCTTTTGTTGATAAATCTGTGGCACGTGAGATATAACACTATGTATGATTAAAAGTTTTCAATCCGTTTGCACATCATTTTGTGCAAACAGGTGCAAAATCCATTTATCTTTGCTGATCTTTGATGCCTCAGCTGTATCAGTGGATGTTGTAAAATTGTTTCACATTGCAACACTCTCTGGTTTGAGATCAATCTTCAGCTTTTGCTTCTCCATCACCTTCTCTAGTTCTGTGGCTTTGTGCACATCCTGAGGAGGGGACACAAGATGAAATGTGATTTAACAGAGAAATATCAAGGACACTTTCAGTTTTCTGGCAAATTTCAAAAGTAGCTCCCCAACTTGTAAATGACATACGCACTTAAATGTCACTTATGTTTGGTCTCATTTTAAAATACCCCAGAAGGCACACATTATGAAATAACAGACCAAGAACATGATGGCTCTTTAGTAATTAACAATTGTAAAATCTGCCCACTGCAACTATCCTGTATATTTGCTAATATGCATTTCAGGTTTTGTACATTGAAAGGTTAAATACTCTTTAGTCAATGTAGGTCAGTAACACTGAGGTAAAATGATGTAAGTCTGTGCAAAAGCCAAGGCTAAGCAAACAACTAGCTCAGGACACATGGACCCAGTTGTAACCACGCAAACACAGACAGGACAAGGAAAAGCAGTGAACAAACCTCCAGAAGGGACTTCTGCACCATAATTTGGCTGTAAACTCTTGCACCTTCTTCTGGTGACACTGAGCGGAGTTCATCCTTATTCAGGGAAAACAGCTGTGCTCCATTTAAAATGCCCAGACTCTGAATGGTCCTAAAAGGGGAGGAAGAAGCAACATAGTCAGTGTTCACTTTAACAGTTTTCACTGTCAAAAGGTCCATAACTTGTATGTAAGTATCTTTGTCAAATAGAAAAATCCACTTGCTTAAACTTCACATATGAAGCATCTCTGAGCTTCTCTTAAGATTCACTTCTGCATTTTTTTTGTTGCACTCAATAGTGCCCCTAAGTATCCTAAATGTGGGTGCTGATGCTGCAATGGATAAGACTATGCCTTTGGGGTGAGAGACCCGGGTTCAATCCTCCACTGTGACCCATCCACCAATGTGTCCCTGAGCAAGACACTTAATCCCGAGGTGTGCGACCTCTGACATGCTTTGGATAAAAGTGTCAGCTAAATAAATGTAAATGTCCTCTTAGCTCACTGTTTTTGTTACTCCAACTAAGTTCAGTTCACAGTTCAGCTGCAATACATAAACATTGGCAGGGAGGACATTTGAGGGCGCTATTGTGCACTAAGCAAAATCGAGGAGTGTACCTTTGAAAGATGCATGTGCTTTATATGCGGGTGGGGTTGCTGCACAGTCACTGCAGTGCTCTCACTACTACCTCTCCTTTAAAACAGTCTGTATCTGTCATAAGCCTGAATGGAAACCTCTTCTAGAAAATACCGCTGCTGATTTGAATGGACTAACTCAATCCTCAGGTCTGAGCTGCTTGTATCTGATGCTGCCTGTAGACCTCTGGCTGAGGCTGCCTGTGTTTCACCTGGGTCTGCTTGACCTGCTGAAGACGCCTGGACTGGGTCTGTGCTAGTACTGGATTTGGATCAACTGTGCTTGTACTGGCTTATGATACAGCATTTAAATGATGTGGGCCTATGAGGAGTGCCATCACATCCGTGTGTTGTCTGGACTGGTCCCACTAATGTTTCTGCTGGAATGCAATAGGTCCAGCTGCAGACTGTAGCACTGCTCAGCGCGAGTTTCATTTCATGCACGCGCACATGCGTATGAGTCATGGTCTGAGCGCATGTTCACGTGCGACGTAGTTTATAAACATCGTTGCACGTCTGCGTTTATCAAACGTAATAAATAATTGTATTTCACTGTAATATTGTTCAGACAGTCTGACAAGAAAACAAGACCAAAACAGACCTAGTTGCGCTGCTCAGCTGGGTTAGCAAGACAGACAGAGAGAGGTTCACTGCAACTACACGTGCTGCTCACATCAGACTTTCAGAGGAGAGAACAGAAGTTTGTGTGACTGCTGTTCACTCTCGTTGAGTTATTTTCTCTTCTTGTGCACATAAGGATAGTCCCTCTTAGTCCTCTCATTAAATGTGTAAATACTCGCTTTCACCACTGACTCGTTTTTTGCGAAGTTTCATAGCGTAACAACGTGCCTTTTCACATCAACCAGTAGTTTTATTTTGAAATTGTAACACAACCATAGACACATGGATGCAGGGGCACGTGCCCCAGTAAAAAGGGTCTAGCGACGCCTATGTTTCTAATATTTCCCCATCGAAAATGATCCAGTTTCATCAAAATCAGTGAAAAAAGTTGTGTTTTTGTACAGTAATCAGTGGGGCCCGGCCCCAGAACCACTATGCTTCAGCAGCTTCATATTGAGAAATCTTTTCATCAGACCCTAAATTAATACAAGTGCAGAATGAGTCATTAACATTTTAAAATGCTTTTCCAAAGTATTAAGACAAACTATTAAATATCATCAAGAATACCTACAAAAACATTTTTTTTCGTCATGGGCCAGATACTGCCATAGTGGTGACACTGTGCAAAGCATATCCATAAAAACATTTAAACATGGATTTTTATTTCATGGGAATGGAAGACTTTGTACATGTTTCTCTAAAAATGCACTGAGCAGAAAACGCATCAATGCCTATTTGGCATTGAAGCCATTATTTGTTACATTTTTAACAAGTAATTTGTAGTTTTACCAGATTACATTTTTCCCCCCAACCCTGTATGCAATAAACTGTGGAAATGACTTTGATTTCATTTTTTTCTTAATTTTCACCCCAGCACCCAAGTGTCTATTAAGCACCACTGTACAACTCACTGAAGCCTAGGCATTATTTTAATTTCCTCGTACAGCAGAGTCACTGATGCTCCTGTATAATTTTTATTTAGAATAATATTAAAAGTTATTCAATAAATTAAAACTATGACAGCATTTAAACACGGAACAACTATGGACTTACATGTGGCTACTAAGGATTTAAAGGTTGAAATTCTTAAAGCTAAACAAAGCTATAAGGAAAAACTAGAAAATAAGATGGCATCCAAAAATCCTGGCTCAGCATGGGCAAATATGAAAACCATTGTAGGCCTTCATAACTCAGATTGCAGTAATCAGATTATTTTAAATGGTTTTAGTTCTGATCTTGAACTAGCAAATGCACTAAACGATTTTTATTGTCGTTTTGACAATTTGAATTTTAATAAAGAAATCCAGGAATTGAGTGTTAAGTTAATGGATGATCAGCATTTTAACATCGACCTTCAGGATGTGGAAAAAGCTTTCAGACAAGTTAAGGCAAATAAAAGCCCAGGTCCTGATAGCATTTGTGGCAGACTATTAAAGTCATGTGCAAAAGAATTGAGCCCTGTATTTCATGAAATTTATAATAAGTCTCTGGAGACACAACATGTACCGATCCTGTGGAAGGATGCGGTGGTCATTCCTGTCCCTAAATGTAGAGACCCTAAGATGATAAATGATTTTAGGCCGGTCGCTTTGACTTCCATTTTAATGAAAATCCTTGAGAAATTAGTA